GACCTTGCCTCAGTCCTTTTCAGAAATAAGGACCTCAGGAAAGGTGTCTTTCGACGCCTGGCCCTCATCCACTGAGTTGACCAGCTTCCTGATGTTATCTTTGGTGCCCCTAGTGGTGGGGCCCCCTCCGGCAAAACCGCCTGCTATGGTGAAGATAATTTCTTCATCCGTCTCAGAGTTGGTAAGCACAGGTTTTGCCGTCTGCCCCTTCTTTGCTTGGGTGTTACTCTTGGCTTTGGGCAGATAGGACTTCAGAGCCCCCTCATCAGCCAGACGGTCTAATAGCCGCCTGAGGCTATAGCAACTATTAGTGTCGTGGCCGACATCCTCATGGTACTAGCAGTATTTGCTCTTGTCCCAGTTAGTTACAGGACTTTTCATCGCAGCCGGTTTCTCGAGAGACATCCGGTCTTTGATCTCCATGAGGATGGAGGAGCAGTCCTTCGTGAACTCGTACTTGGGAACGTACGGTTCAGATTTCCGTCTGAGCTTCTGAGCCGGCTGACCAAGTCGATCTGCCGCCCAGATCTCTTTTCTCTTCTTTTCTTCCTTTTTCGCCGACTATCTTCTCTGTCGGATTTTTTTGAATCCGACGGCTGCTTTACAGCGCAAAGCTCCATCGCCTGTATATAGGCTTCAGCTTCCATTAACGCCTCTTGAAGGGTGGCTACCCTTTTCCGGACGAGGTCGAACTTAAAGGTCGACCCATCCATCAGACCCTTAAAGAAGTCTGTGTAAGCAACTTCATCAGACAGTCCTTGAATCTGAATTCTCATCAGATTGAACCGTCTGACGTAAGACCGGAGCCCTTCTCTGTCACCTTGCTGTGTTGCCCCTAGGTCAAGGCTAGTCTTTTTGGCAGGGATTTTCTTTGAAAAATTCGACGTAAATAAGTACGCCAAAGTTCTGAAGTTGTTGATGCAGCCGGCTGGTAGATTACCAAACCACCGTTGGGCAATGCCCTTCAGGGTAGCCGGGAAGCATCGGCACCAGACGACATCGTCCAACCCCTGTAGGTACATGAGGTTAGAGTAGGCCATTAGGTGGTCTTCTGGGTTGGAGGTACCATCGTAGGCCCCTACCAACACGTTTTTAACCTTAGACGGTTGTGCCGCCTGGGTTATCTCGGGGGAGAACGCTGTGGACTGTTCTCCCAGATTTAGCAGGCGCAGCTGTTAGTCCATGGGCTGGTACGGCTGCTGCACATGCCCACCAAAGAGACCCGGTTGGGTGAAAGGGGATCCACCCAGTCCATATGGCGAACCAAATAAACCAGGCTGGATCACTTTAGGTCCAGACCGGGCGGAGGGCTCGCCCGTCTGACACCCTAGGCTTGTTCTCGTACGCGTGTTAGAGGTGTCACGGAAACTGTATGGGAAGGTCGACGTTGAGGCCGACGTAGACGCTTGACTTCTCTTTTCCTGGAGGAACGTCCGGGCATCAAAGAAAGTCTTTTTGGAACCATCTGGCTGTAAGTGCCGGATGGGTTTTCTGAGTTCCGCTTGAGGGAAGCGGAGCCTGTTTGGATCGAACTTGAAGCCCTCCCCCTCCTTTGGCTTTGGGTGAGGGGTAGGAACTCGATCTTTAATCATATTCTTCCCAGAGGAAGGCTTCTTGGCCGACTGACTCTTTTTGGAGTAGCTGACCGAATAAGGTTCTTGATCTCGCCCTTGAAACTATTCATGAAGGTCATGAGTTCGTTCTTGGTGACGGGAGCAGAGCCTTCTGCCGTCTGGGCAGCTCCTACCGGGTATCCGGCTGGGTTGCCTGAAGCAGCTTGGTTGTTATCCCGTTCCTTCTTATCTCTAGAACGGGTGCGTTTTGTTCTGAATGACCCATATGGGGCCACATAGGTGTTGACTTCATAGTCATCACCGCTTTCATGGTCTGTCTTGACCTCAAGCTCGACCAACGACTGCTTGTCCTGATCCGGCGGTACAGGGTTAGAAGTCATCTCAGAAGTACTCTCCCCACAGACGGCGCCAAATGTTTCGGGGTTTTTTGATGTGTCCTGCGGGAGAGTTACAATTCCGAGAGTGCCCTTCAACGCTTGTACCTGCAAAACCACGAAGTCTCCGGTTGGCCGGAGACCCGCCTTCGACGATTAAGTCAGTAACGTACAGGAAGAAAAATGTGCGTAAATAGTGAAATTACTTCTCGCGTAATGGGAGAATTTCGCAATTAATATTGCTCGGGATTGGTGTATGTATTTTTTTTTTATGCCCCATTAATGAGGGTCCTTCCACTATTTATAGTGGAGGAGTCTGGGTTTCCCATTTAGGGTTCACTGGACACGTGTCATTAGGGGGTTGGAGCCCTGCTGACCAATGGCTGGATGCCACGTGTCACTTGGCCATAGGGCCACTTGTCTGGGGTATTTTTTACCCCAAACAAATATCACATTGATACTGGCTAGAAGTTTTGTGGTATCTTGTTCATGTATTATATATACTCAATACTTGTGCCAGTTTAAGCAACCTGGTTCTGTTGTAAGTTTGAAATTGATGAGATTAGGTAGTACATAATCCGATAGGTGTTTCAAGGTTTCAGTTTACTGGGGTTTAATGTAAGAGTTCGTTCTGACATTCTATTGTCTCTAATCTCTGAGAATTTATTGTGTTCGTGCTATAGGATTCATTGGGGCATTTTGTCAAACAATATTTTTTGGAAATTTAATTTACTTTAAAAGAGATTATTTATTTTACTTTTAACGAAATGTAGTCTACTAAAAAAAACAAATAACAGTAATCATTCATTTATTAAAAACTTAGAGATCTACAAATATCAAGTCTACATTTCACTCAAAAACGTACAGATTATGTAAAAAGTCAATATCCAAATTTTTGTAACTTGATACTTCTACTATTTCGATGATTGGATAAAATAAAGTATTTCAATTTTAGCACAGTATGTAAGCAAATTATATTAGCTCAGGGTGTTCAGCTTTAGTACAGAGTAATTCACTAGTTTTAATTAGAATCGAGCTCTAAATTTCTACAAAATTATAAAATAAAAATATTCAAAAAACTCAAATAGATTTAATCGTTAAAAACTTATCATAAGAACGCCCTCAATTCACATAGATTTGTTCGCAAACTCACCAAAATTCACATAAATTTGAATGCTAGTGCTTTCAAATGTAGGTGTTTAGGAATTCTAGGAACAAAATTGTTATAACCATTCATAACCTTAAAAATTATAAATAAAATTTCAAATTTCACTATAAAGAACTCTAAATTGACAAAAAAAAATTAATTTACTTTAAAATGTAATTAATTTACTTTTACTTGGCTTCTATCTACTTTTGAAATTGATTATATAATAGTAGGATTCATTGAGGCATTTTGTCAAATAGTTAGTGTGAAGTAAAATCATCAAATTATACAAGTTACCTCTAAAGTTGAGAAAATTGCAGCAAAATCATCAAATTGTAGAAGTCGTTAGGTTTGATCAACTTGCAGATTTAACAAACAATCAAGATTGATAAATTGCAAATTTGGAGCGAATTCTTGATCTAATTCGAAAAATTAGCTAAAAATTACAATGAAGCTTTAGAAACCGTGATTTTGGACATAATTTAGCATATCTGCATATGTATCTTGAAAGTACTTGATTATGATATAAACTTGCAGATTCAAACGAGAAATCGAACTTTCCCGTAACATTTACAGAATTTGAGTGTGAAAATGCATAAAAATCAAATCAAGCATTTGTTTGATAAAAATATGAAGAACTAGAGGGAGAAAGTATGGAGTAGAGAGAGAAAATGTGTTCAACATTTCTGGAAGTTAGAGCTAGAAGATGTGTACTGAGTAGGCGTTTTGAACAGAAGTTAATCACAACCGTTGTTTTTTTAATGATTTGAAGGATTAGAGAGGTTCATAGTTCTTATTATATTAGAGGTTCTCATTATTACTCGAATTATATGTGTGTTGTGTTCTTTTAGGTAATACTTATCTGATATCTGTGTTAACTTTCAGTTTGAAATTATATGCAGATCACAAAGTGATGATTCTCCCACACAATTTAGGCAACAACACATATTATATTGTCTTATACATGTAAGTACAGCCTAGCTAATTTTAAAAGTGTTGTAATTTTACGTGTTGCTTATTCTTAGGGGTTTTTTTCGTATAATAATTTTACAAATAATTGTTTGCATGTGTTGATTTAGCTAATGTAGGATGTTCATTACTTGAGTTTAACAGTTTTCATATTTATCTCTCATGATTGATCATTATTGAGCTAAATTATTGCTCTCCTTAACCTACCAAGGATTGAGAGATGAAATTGGGTTCTAGGCTCCCTTATGCTTATTTGAAGGCCATGAGATCGGTTTTCAATTCTAATCAAGGGAATCTTAGTGTATCATGAATATGCTTTAATACTTAAGATTATGTTTAGTTACCATTAGAATAAGTAGTAGCTCATGATTCAAGTTATCCCTTCTAGTTCGAGAGAGTATCTATGTTTGTATGTATAACTGTAGTTTCTAAATGACTTGATTCCTAAGATCCGATCCTTTTTATTATTGTTTGTATGTAGTTTAACTCTATAACTTCCAAAAAAAAAAAAAAAAAAAAAGACTTGACTTATCTTAGCATAAGTTGATATTTGTTGGTGCTCTCCTTTATTTTTGTGGGATCGATCCTTATTTGCCATTTCTACTTACTAGAGAGACAAAGTTATTATTATTATTATTTTTATCTTTGGTAGACCGGGCTTGATGATGGCCTATCAAGGTTCTACGTGTATGTTCTAGTCTTTCATCTTTGAATATAATTCATACAATTTAGTTTGTGGTTGTAAGGGAATGAAGAGATGGTTAAAAATTCCAACGGTTTGTAGTCCTTAGGTTAGGTTGTATGCATGTAATTCATATGGCAAAAATTGAAATTAACAAAAATTGACTAATGGCCTAATACATAGCACATGAGTATTCAGCTCGATACAAAATTAATTTTGTAAAAAAATGTAGTTCAATGTAGTTCTCTAATTAAAGATTCAGATCAGATGAAGCACCCCATTGCAGCTGGTTAAGCAACAACTGAGTAAGAATTTTCTACAATATTTGACCTTCAATAACTATTCACCCCGGTCCGTGAGCAATCTCTTTCATGCTTGTTGAAGATAAGACATGCCAACTTATTGATTTCAACAAAAAGAATAGAATCGTTTGTGATGATATGATAGTGAATCCCTTTACTCTCTTTAATTGAATTGAGCACTTTAAGCCAAATTAAATTTTATAATTCTTAAAAATGAGGCGTTCTCGCACTTTCAATTTTAGAAGTGTAAGAAAATCTTTCAAACAACCTCCTATGCAAAGTTATTGGAAAGAAACCATCTCGAGAAATAAGATATATGATAAACCCTATATATGCCGCTGATAAAATGCAGAATAGAACCCCAAGAAATAGCCCGTCGATAGTATTAATGAAAAAGTCCAATAAAACATAGATGTTAATCATCATTACAACTGCCAATACTGTCCATGCCACCTTCTGCAATAAAATATCAGCAACATTAGACATAAAATAACATAAGACATGATTCTTGAATAAATATATTAGCACATATGAAACATCGAACATATATGTCAAGAACAAACCTCGAGTGTAGGTCCTATCTTGAAAACTCCCATCACCTCCTCCTTTGACACCATGGTAAAAAGAGGTATTAGAGAGAAAGGAATTTGAATTGATTGAAGCACATTAAGCCATTCATTCATAATATCCATTGCCCCATCTGATCTATCAAATACAATAGCTAAAATCATCATAGGCACTATAGCAAAACTTCTTGTTATGACTGCCCTAAGCCATTCATTTATCTGAATATTAAGAAAACCTCCCATAATAAATTGTCCAGCATATGTTCCAGTTATGGTGCTACTTTGTCCGGCTGCTAACAACCCGATACCCCAAATATAAAGAATAGGAAGAGGACCACCTCCATACTTCTCCTCAAGGTATCGCCCTGCATTTTCAAGGCCTACACTAGAAGCATTCTTTGTTCCATAAAATCCCTTGGCAAAGACAGTCATAACAAAAAGGTTTATCACGAAGGAGATGAGAAGTGCCACTGATGATTCAATGGAATAGTAATTGATTGCCTCTTGAACTTGGCCAATTTGTTTCACATCTACCTTCCTCGATTGAACAAGAGCAGAATGTAAGTATATGTTATGCGGGGTGATGATGCATCCAAATATTCCTACTGCTTGTTGAATTGTCTTAGAGTTGAGTTTTGGTACCGACACACCTGAATCCATTAATATCATGACCATTTTATATGACAATAAACTAACAAACTTAGGTCATGCAAGAATTAAAACTAATATTGCTAATAAATTGTTACCTACTAGAAGTTCCTTTCCGCTTGGTTTAGCATCAACGAACATATACGCGAACGATATAGCCATTGTCATTACCATGATTGCAAAAGCTGCTTCCATTTTTCTTACTCCATAATTCTCAAGAAACAAAAACACGAAGCTGCTTGTCCAAGAAAGATCAAATGCATATAATTAAAATTAAGACACGATGCCTCTAAAACTGGACATACCCTTCATACTATTACCCACACCTTTAAAATAGCACATTCTGCAGTTTCAAATATTTTATTCTAAGTCTTTTTGTAAATAAACATCTTTAGTTACAAGTAAAATATATGAAATAATTAATATGCTGTATCTAAACACCAAAGTCAAATTTTTTTTTTTTTCTTACTTTCACTTTTTAAAACGTATGGTAGTTTTTTTAAAAAAAAATTAAACAAAATTGTTTCAGTGGGTTTTCAAAGTAATTTTCTTTAATATATAAAACTATTTCAAATGATATTATTGTTGATTGGTAACTATTTTTAATTCTAATAGGCTTTTTCAATTCTTAGGTATATATTTGTAGATCTTGTAACACTTTTCAACATTAGCAAACACTAATTAACTCAAGGCCACGGCCAGCCTTTAATTTTTGTCAAACAATATTTGTGCATTTATATATTGATTTTAAATCCTGTTTAACTAATATTAATATCAAATTAGATATATTGAATTTTCATATCAATCAGCTAATAATTAATAATGGCCCTAGACATCGCGGACACTAATAACTAGTTACCACCTAAAATCACTCGGATTTGCTTGGTTTACCTACATTTGTATTACATTGGTATGTTATTTAATATTGAACTACATATTATTATTGTTTAACCTACGTGTTTTTTCAAGGTGCATCATGCTTTCGGATTTTTCAATTGATTTAAATGCTTTGCTCAATCCATTGCTATTTCAATATAATTTTGTTGTAGTACACACATTAAAAACTACTTCCTCCATTTTTCAATATATGCAACAGTTTAATTGGCACATGTACTAATGCATAGTACGTTTTGATCATAAATATTTGCTAGCATATATTATTAACAAACATGAAAAAAATGATTACTTAAAAATATATATTGATCGATATTAATTTAACTACATACAATGCAATAACATATAATTTTATATATCATGAATAGTGTTAAATTCAATCGATCGTGACTCATGAGTATTTAGAAAACTTAAACAACATATAAATCGTTTATAAGAATATATTGATACATATGATTTTACATGGACACATCTTACACATATAAACTTAGTAATGTAGTGTTGGATAACCTATGAATCGAAATAAACCTAGATTCCTTTCCTTTTGTTATTCTCTTATGAATCAAATGTACGGATTTTAATGATCCCGCAAGTAGATTTATCCGGAAGGGAAATAAAAGGTACTGCAAAAGGAAGTGGGTTTTAGTGATCCTACAAGTAGAATTATAAAATAATTGAGCAAAAATGAATAAAAGGATTTTCATGTCAGATCCAAAACCAAAACTATCGCAAAATTTTAATGACCTACAATTAAAGTAGTAGTGCGTGTCTAACTAGATAATGAGGGCACCGATTCAATCTATTCTAAGGTGTCCTATACACCTTTATTTGTGTGTTTTAGTGGGTAAATGTGAAAAAATTACTTTTTGGTGGGTTCTCGTTTCTTAATAAAATATTAAATTTACTATCTTTTATTATAATTTTTTAATGTTTTAACTATTTCATTTACATCTATCTATATTAAAGTCAAATTGTTTTTTTAAAACTATGAGCCAATCAAGACATGACACTTTAAAAACAAAGAAAGTACTTGTTTAGTGGGTTCTTCACTTACCTTATGCAAGATTGTTTCTAGTAGAGGACGTTATAAACACATAAACATACAAAAGTTTATAGAAATCAATATAGTCATGGCCTATAAAGTTCACAAGTTTAAATTCCCTATTCTCATAATTAGCTTTTATATTGTCCTTATAGATTATTTAAGCAAAAAAAAAAAAAACAAATTACAAAGTGAAATTTAAAAGGTCCAAGATAGAAGCTTACCAATCAGCTGCAGTAATGACAACACTAGCCCAAAGAGGCAAAACACCATTGGTTAATATTTGAATGGCTATAGCTGTACCAACAACCTCCTGGATATCGGCAGCGATAACCGCTACCTCTGCCATGACCCACAGTAAAATCCTGGCCCATGGAGGGTACTCCTCCCTACATAACTCGGCTAGGTGGTTGCCTGTTGCAACTCCAACTCTTGCGGATAGAAGTTGAATCAACAATCCCATTATTGTTGACCATAATAGCAACCAAAGCAATGAGTAACCTGCTATTGCACCTGCTTGTAGATCACCTTCTATATTTCCTATTAAAAAGGTGAAAAATAGCAAGTCACTAAAGTTGATTGCAAATATTTTTATTCAATAATGAAGGGAGAATATAAATTCTTTACTCATTTAGTAATATTAGTTTTAATATATACTTTAGTATTTTAGCTTAACCCCTTAGCTTTGATGTGATAAACTAGTTTGATTTATATTTGGTATGGTATTGCATTAAATTGTTCTAATTTATACTCCCTAGATTATTTTTTTAGTCCCACTTGTTCTTTTCATATTTTTCGATGCAATATTATTTTTAAGTATCTCAAGAAAATTATTATATTTTTTTTTTTTTTACACATTTAGGGAAAAAAATGAGATGAACTTAACGATGTCTTACATAATGTATCTTAGAGTATAGATTAACATGCAAAATTTCATCTCTATTAGAATCTATTAAGATTCCAATTTTGACAAACAAAAAGTTTGAAGGGAAAGTACATAACTTGTGGTCATCATCAAGAGAAAAAAACACATTATCGTTCTACTTTTCAATATCATAGCGCTCACTAGTTATGTTGGTATATGTTAATTAAAGGGCTTATATAACGCCATTATTGAAATTAAGATATATTTGTATGAGACTATTTTACTTAAAGATTGTAGTAACGGGGATTTAAAAGTGTAGGCATTAACATACATACATTATTCATTACCTGGATCCAAAAATGCAATACTCATTAAAATGCCAGGCCCTGTATACAACCATAGCTTCTTCCATGAAAAGGGTGGTGTTTGATTATCATCAAATTGTTCCACTTCTATTACACCATATACTTGTTGTGTAAAATATGGTGTAACTTCTCTATCTTTTTCTTCTTCTTCATAATAATTATCGGGAAATTCTTGAAAGTATGTTGAAGATGAAGAGGCAACATTGGAAGGTAACAGTTTATTTGACTCAAAGGATTCATAAACGACGATAAATTTATTTTCATTCTGATTTTCAAGGGGAAAATGAGTGTCCATATTGGTAAGGGAGCAACATTTTGCTATGGAAAGTTTGTTTCTTGTTTCGGTATGTGCGAGTTTGTTTGAATTTTCTATTTAATTTGTGGTTTACTTTAGTGGAAGAAAATTTAGGATATGAGCTAAAAGATCCCCTAAAATTCTGATTGTTTGGAAATTTTTAAGCAAATTCACCCAAAATGTAGTGTATGGATTAAAACATAAAAAGGTAGAATTATAAAATTTTGTTAGTAAAATAAATTATTCTCCACATATATTCAACAATATTTTAATGTGTGGTATAATTCTAAAGACAATGTCAACTCAGAAAAAATAATTGAAAAATATAAATCTAATTACACAAATATTAAGTAATTATTTTCCATTTATCATTTAATTTGTATCCCTTCAATCCCTTTAATCTTTAACATTCTAGTAGGTTGTACATAATTAAGATTGTAAGAAGAAATGTAAAGACTATTAGAATTAGGAAAAATTGTCAAAAAATAATACAAACTTTGAGTGATACGCCAAAGAAAATCAATCTTTTGATTATTTCAAAATAATACACTTTTGACGGCATCCACTTTAAATAAGATAATTTACCTACAATCTAAAGGACCTATTAGTATTTTTGTTTTTTTTAATAAAATTGTTTAATACTTTAATTACCTCCTAATCAAAATATTAAGTATGATTATTTTTGGGAAATTATCAATAATACCATCCAGGTATTGGCTTTTATCAATGGTACACATCATTATATTAAACTTTCATTATCACCGGTACCCCTAAACTTTTCCCTTATTTACTACAGTAAGCTTGCCGTTAATTAAACGTTAATTATACTCGTTTTTGGTCTGAATTTACTTGACTAAAATGCCCCCCATTCAATAATCCTCCCTCCAAGCCCAACCAACAACAATTTATACAAAAAAAAAACGATCATTCATCTTCTTCACTCTCTCCCCTGTTCTACTTCTTCTTCTTCTGTAAACCCTACTTGACGCCTTTCCCCTATTCTTCTTCTGGATTGAAGCAAAATCCTTGGAATTTTAGTGACACTGTGTGGAATTTTAAAGGTTAGTGCTTTCTAGAATTTCGTATTTTGATGGTTTAAATTGTTAGGTTTAAATGAATGTATGTATACATGTGTAGTTTGTTGTTGGATTTTGCTCTCACTTAATCTCGATTTCCATACGATCATGTTTGTGTGCTAAATTTTGTATTTTTTAGACATATAATTCGATTTCAAAGTCAATGAATTTGCATGGTATAGTGTAAATGTTGAACTTTAGTGTAAATTTGTGTTGTGATGTTTTGGTGTGCCCTGCCAGATGAACCCCTGGTAGACGAAGCCATTGATTTTCCAGAGATAAATAACTGGAATCAAAAGAAAAGAAAAGCGTTGATGGAAAGGTGAAGAGCAAACAAGAAGGGAATGTGTTATAAGTAGGGGAAATTTCACAAAAAAGGAGGGAAAATTGGAAGGAAAATTTGGAGGGAAATGAAATGAGAGGGGCAATGTTGTATTTTTAGCCTCTTGACCTTTAAACGCTAAAAACAAAGTATAATTAACGGCAAGCTTATTGTAGTAAATTAGGGAAAAGTTTAGGGGTACCAGTGATAATAAAAGTTTAATGATGTGTATCATTGATAAAAGCCAATACCTGGAGGGTATTATTGATAATTTCCCATTATTTTTTAAGATTAATAACATTACTTAACTTACTAACCTAACTTTAATTAGATTTATTAATAATCATATAATCACCCATTCACCCCCCCTATCTCTCTCCTGCCCCTCCTCCCCGTCAAAGTCAAAATCCCCATAAATTCACCTCCCATATTCGCCAATTTTTCATTAGATATGAATTTAACTCAATCTCACATTCCCTTTTTCGCTTTTCAAACTAGGGCTTGAATTTCAATCATGGGGGGCGGGGACTCTAACGAGGAGGGGTTAGAAGTGGGTTTTTGGTGGCTTTGGGGTGGATGGGATTGGTTTTGGTGATTATGGTGGGGTTTCCGGTAAGTAAGAGGTGAGTTTTTGGATCTTTGTGGTAGTGGATTGGGTTGGTATAGAGGTTTCGTAGGTTGGTATGGTGGTTTTAGTGGCTGGTATGGTGGTTGGTGGTTGTGGATGTTGCTTGAGATTGTTGTTGGTGGTGCAGTGGGTGGTGGTGGTGGTGCAGTGGTGGTGGCGCAGGGGAGGCGCTTGCGGCGCCAGCCGGAGGGCTGAGCGCCGGGAACATGATGCTGACGAGGAGGGAAGAGGTGGATTGGTGGGGAAGGGTTTTTTGTTTAGTGATAATAAGTAAGTAATATTATTTTATTTCTTTTAATAATTAAAAATATTCAAAAAATTTATAAATTAAGTTAAATTGTTTAACGAATAAAACAATGACACGTATTCCATAAACCTTTTAATCACGTCATCAACCGGTCATAACTTGTTTAAAATGGATGCCCCCCAAAGTTTGTATTATTCAGAAATAATCAAAATATTGACTTGCTTTTGGCGAACCGTTCAAATTTTGTATTATTTTTTACAATTTTTTCTTAGAATTATTAAAAAGAAAATTTGTAAACCACTACTATCATTTACTTTGCACTTTTTGAAAACAACTACCATTTAAGTTTTTTTTTTAAAAAAAACAACTACAATTATTAGAAAGTTTATTTGAGTACCATTACCATTTAACGCCAACAGTTAAAAAACTGTCTTGTGGGATCCACTTGAACCCTAACCACCCACTACTCCCCACCTCAACCAAACCCCAACCACCCAACAATCCCCTACCTGATTCGAACCCCAACCACCCACCACTCCCCTACCCAAATTAAACCAGCCACTCACCACTACTCCCCCAACTTGAAACGAAGTAGCCACCCAACACGACACCACTCCCCCACCTGACTATACGGGTATGAGTGGGCATTGAGGTTCCGACAGATGGAGGTGAAAGAAGAGGTGATGTAGAGGGGTGGGATTTGGCAGCAGAAGGCATAGAGGAGAGAGAGAATGAGAGTACATCAAGGTGAAGAGGAAGGAGGGGGGGTTTCATGTTCACTAGTTGAGTTGGTGGTCTTGTGGGGTCAGTGGTGGTGGTGGTGGACTGGTGGGGGAGTGGTGGGTGGTTAGGATTTAATTCAGGTGGGCCCCATAAGACGGTTTTTTTTTAACAGTTACCTAAACCTGGGCACGGGCCGGGTTGGCCCGCGTGCCGCCCGGCACGGCCCGAACTCCAGCATGGCACGGCACGGAAGTTGAACTTCTTGCCACGGGTCGTGCCACGGACAGGGTTATGAATTCCCAGGCACGGCCCGGCACGAGCACGGCCAGGGCCCGCCGTGCTGGCACGCAGGCACGGCACGCGGGCCAACGGTCATATAACCGTTTAAAAGCAACGGCTAGTTGCATAATTAGCCAAAAAAACGGCTACTTAACGGCTATATTTTTGCCAATTTGCTCCCCAAAAATTCTATAAATACCCACCTCCATTTCATTCCCAAATCACAAAATCACAATCTCTTCTTCTTATCTCTTATATTCTCTAAATCTCTAATAATCCTTATTTTCTTAAATTCTCTAATTATTCTCTTAAATTCTCTAATTATTTTCCTAATATCGGAAAAAATTAAAAAGTTTGTAATCGTAATTAGTGGAGCGTTGAAGCACGGTTGTAAGATCTAAACTAATCTTAAATTTATTATTGTTTTATTGTTATTATTAGAATAATCTTGTTTAATTATTATTGTTACTAATTGTTATTATTGTTGTTTTAATTGTTGTTATTAATTGTTATTATTGTTACAATTGTTGTTATTATTTATTTTTGTTGTTATTGTTATTGTTATAGTTGTTGTTATTAATTATTATTATTGATATTTTTATTGTTAAAATTGTTGTTACTAATTATTATTATTATAGTTAACCACTTTTTATTAAAAAATTAATTGTTAATTATGGCATCGAACAACTCATCATCTAGGTCTAGGGCGAAAGGCCGACTTACCCATAGTAGTAGTTCTAGGGAACCACCAAATACAACGAGCCCCCAAATTTCGAGTCAAACCAATGACCCCATTTACTTCCCCCCGGGCTATGAGCCATATAATATGTCGGGATTTCCAGCACCATCACTAAACCAATTTCCACCACCACCAAACTAATTTCCACCACCACCACCAAACCAATTTCCATCATCAAACCAATATCAAAATCCACAACAATTCCCACAATTCGGTGAATTACCACCTAATTATATCGGTGATCAACAAAACTATTGTTATAGCCAAGGTAGCCAAGAAAGTACCTGAATTCCCTCCGGTTCTACCCCTTCTACTGCCACTACTAACGTAGACACACATCATGAATGGTTAACCGAAAGTGAGATGGTACTTTTGAAAAACCGAAGGAGTGAGGTATGGTGTTATTTTGTCCTAGATAAAGAGGGTCAACAATATGCAAAATGTAATACATGTAATGGTGTATTCACGACATTTACCAAAAATGGGACGGGACACTTAACTAGACACATGAAAGCTTGTGCAAAACCAGCTAGTGATCCAACCCAGCCCAAAATTTCCCAATTCCATCCATACGGCTTTACATACAACTATAAGAGGGATAGAGATGAACTAGGAAAAATGATAGTACACGCCGAACAACCTTTTCTTTTCTCGGAAAGTGACGCATTCAACACCTACATTAACAAAGCACTACAACCCCAACATAAAGGAAT